GCTGGCTCTGACAGGTTTATAGTCTTCTGGTTGAGTTGCTTCTTTGGGCTCTATGGGGCTTGTTGCTTCCTCTTTCTTAGCCACCCTGTGACCACCTGTTTCTGGGGAGCTCTGCCCCAGTAACAACCAGGAAAACCCAGAGACTGAGAATAGGGCCCATTTCCCAGAACCTCAGGGACAGAGAGAGCGGGGAGGGGTGAGGACTTCTTGGACATGGGCTCCCCACCAGCTGAGAAAATGTGCTGTCATGTGCCTTGCTCCTCCGGTCAGCTCCCAGGAGAGGCTACACAGCAGACACTTCTGTTTGTCCTCACGGAAGGACAGGGTTTCCACAGCCTGACTGAGGAATCTCCCTGATCAAATCCAGGCCCCACTAGGCAAGGACTCTACCACGGAACTGCTTCCCTGCCCTGGGACTTACTTTTGTAGTGGAAGTGCTCGCGGTGGTTTGTATTGTCCGTCAACTTGACAAGATAGAGATCTGGAGACATCTGTGAGGGATTTCCTCGACTAGGTGGGAAGACTTGCCCTGTGTGTTGGCTGGGGTCCTGGATTGCATCAGGAGGAGAAGGCAATCTAAGCTTGAGCATCCTTTGCTCTTTGCTTCCTGATGGTGGGCATAATGTGGGCAATAACTTTCCTCCTGCGCGACCGTAGTATCCCAGGAACTGCGAGCCAAATAAACCCTTCCACTCCTAAGCTACTTTTGCCAGGGATTTTGCAAAAGCAACGGGGCAAGCACCTGACGCGGAACTCAACTGATTCCCGGCCGCAGGGACAGCATTGATCGTTAGCCACACAATGCATGCTGGGGTCTTGTCCCCTGAGTAGTTGTGGTCATCTGCCGCAGCCCAGGTATCCTTCCATTCTGAAGTGCACTACACTGGCAGAAAACTTCATGAAGGAAAGACTGTGACCTGGTCACATGGTCGTTGGCCTTCCATGGGGCAAAGTAGCTACTTTATGAGGACTGATCCCCACAGGTCATAGGGCATCTCCCTTTCTGGTTTGTTTCTCCAGGGGTACTCACCCAAGAAATAATAACAAGCATGTATTAGTCCTCTCTGCTGTGTAATTAATGACCCCTACACTCAACCAGTTGGGATGCTGTTCTGCTATTCAGTCTGGCTTTAAATTCCTGGACTTGAGCAATCCTCCTGCCTCAGGTTCCCAAGGAGCTGGGTTGTATTGCACTATGCCTGGTAGGAGTGGATCGTGTGACATCACACATTCCTGAAGTATTACTTTAATTACGTAGTGTAAAATAAGTTTTAAGATTTTGATTAAATGAGTATGATTCTGGGCCAGATACAGGGCAAGGACAACAGAGGAGACAGACAGGGCAAGGACAACAGAGGAGACAGACAAGAACACTGGAGCAGGGCTTTACGGCAGCAGACTCCGGACACCAAGGAGCAAGCAGTTCAGTGGGGATTGATAGGTACCCACAAAAGGCACTCCAGATCAAGGAATGGAAGAGGACCAGTTTCATGCCCTGAGCATTCCACAGAGAGGACAGAACTCTAACCCCAGGAGAATCTCAACCATGTTCAGTTGGAGTTAGACCAAACGGGACTGCCACCATCCTGCCTCCATCCCAAAAATGGACTGAGCACCAGGAATACAGACAGTGGCGGATTCTGGGAATAAAGAAACAGGGTCAGATGCCCAGCCATTCTTCTCTCTTCTCCTCTTCCCTTCCCTTCCCTTCTCTTCCCTTCCCTTCCCTTCCCTTCCCTTCCCTTTCCTTCCCTCCTCTCTTCCCCTCCCCTTCTCTCTCCTCTCATCCCCCCATCCCATATTCACAATACTGAAGACTTAACCTAGGACCTCGTGTCTACTTAAGCACTTTACCACTGAACTACACACCCAGCCCAGTGGTTTGTCTTTTCTGACCAGGGTCACGGTATCTAAAGCCCAAGACAGGGTTCCCTGCCCACCCTCCTGAGGGAGCGCCCACCCAAAGTGGACAGCACCATTCCTGGACTTGGGTTCTGGACCACATGAAAAGGAGAGAGCTAGGACATTCACCACTGTCTTCCTGTTTTAAGGGAGAAAGGATCGATTTTGGCTCACGTGCCAGGTTAGACTCTATTGCAGAAGGGAAGTCGGTGACTGGACCCTGAGAGGGCTAGTCACATCACATCCACGACGAGGAAAGGCGTGCAAAGGTGTGCAAAGGTGCACACTAGCACTCAGCTCACTTGCTCTACTTACACAGGTGCTACCCACAATTAACTCAGAGCTCCCCACACCAATGAACGGAATCCAGAGAATTTCTCACATGGATGTCCAGAGGCCCAGCTCCCATGTGATTCTAGATCTGCCAGGCTCACAATTAACACCAATCCTCTCTGGGATGAGAGGCGACCACCCAGGCAAGCTCAGGGTCACCTTCAGATAGGAGTGGCAGGAAGAAAGGCCTTTCTCCAGTGCTGGACTCATGTGACAAGCACTGCTGTCCTGAGCTGCCCCCAGTCCCTCATTCTAACAACTCCATCTCGTGTAAAAACATTGCTCTGTGTGTATAGGAAATAGTTTCAAATGACGTCAGCGCCTTCAGGGAGGGAAGGGATGGGTGACCTTTGACCCCTCATTTCTATCTTTTGCCCAAATTCCTTTTTAAAGAGAGTGTCCCACTCTTATATTCCGAAGATGTTTCTTCTCTTTCTATTATTCTTAAAAAGCTGTCATATTGTTGCGTATTTCTTTCTTGTCTTTTTCCTCAAGTCTGGCAAGGAATAAAGAGGATTGTGGCATCGAGTCTATTCTCAGGGAGGATTTCTTTTTTGTTGTTGTTGTTATTTTGTTCTGTTTGTTTGTTTTTCGAGACAGGGTTTCTCTGTAGCTTTGGAGCCTGTCCTAGAACTAGCTCTTGTAGACCAGGCTCACCTCGAACTCACAGAGATCCACCTGCCTCTGCTTCCCGGGTGCTGGGATTAAAGGCGTGCGCCACCACCGCCTGGCTATAACTTATTATTTATTTATATTTATTTTTTGAGAACTCCTGATCCTCCTGCCTCTGTCTTCCAAGTGGTAGGATTACAGATGGAAGCCACCATGTCCAGCTTAATTTTAGAACTTCAAAAAAAGTAACCTCCTTCTGCAGACGGCAAGTGATAAGAAAAAGAACACGCCTTTGTGTGTTCATACATTTTCCCCATAGTGCGCTACTGTGCACATGCATTTGGGATAAGGTAGCCAGGCACTAAGAGGGAAGCTTCGTGGAGAAGGCATGCTTAGCATATGTGATGCCACAGGTACCATCCCTAACATCAACAAGTAAACGAGATCTAACCAAAAAGTGAAGCAAGCCACGTCCGAGGTGTAATGAACAAGTTTGCTTCAGGGGGCCGGTGTTATTCTTTCTAAAGATACACTAGTGGGGGTCACCCGAGGCCTTGGCAGGGCAGCAGTGGGTGATCTCCTCGGCAGGTCCCCTAGGCGGGTGGGAGACAGACACACCATACAGAGACTTTGGGTATAGAGTTTATTTAGTGGGTTATGGAAGGGAAAGAGGAGAAGGAGGGAAGAGAGAAAGAGAGAGGGAGAGAGGGAGAGGGGGGGGAGAGAGAGAGAGAGAGAGAGAGAGAGAGAGAGAGAGAATG